CAGAAACTGTACATTAAGAAGATTTTTAAAAATACAACTTGAAAAAGTATCAGCTACCCTTCCAAAACAGAATATATCAGAAAATACCTGGGCAATGTGGCTGATGTTGAGGTTAAGGTTGACAAACAATTGTACCTGGCAATGTTCCTGATGACACTAACAGGCAATTAAGTCAAGTAATCAGTGCATGCATTTCATTTCTAAATACAGTCTACCAACATGGCTATAAAATCTTTACTAGTGCTCTTTCTTTCTATACACCTATTTATGATTAGAATTAAATTATATTTTAGTAATGCTCATTGAGGTGTTCTCCAAGGTTGTTTTATTACCATCTAAAAACTCAGAAAATTACAATTTTGTACTGCTTTACTTAGTAGATATAGATCAACTCAAACTCCATATAAAGTATAGCACATAATAAAAATATACCTATATTTTACCAAGTAAATATATAATCAGGATGTTACTTAGTAAAAACAGGCATTTATTTTGGTGATGATTACAAATAACATAATTTTTATGAATGCATGAACTCATATATATTCATAAATTACATTCTACTTAATGCAAATATTATTTGGAGTGAGGTAGTGAATAAAAATTAATCTAAAGCATGGCTTCTGATTGAAATGCTTCTGGAGTTGATTCTCTTTTCTGAAGAAGTAGCTCAACACCCTTGTATTAGTCTGTTCTCACGCTGCTAATAAAGACATATCTGAAGCTGAGGAGGCCTCATGGTCATGGCGGAAGGCAAATGAGAAGCAAAGTCACATCTTACGTGGCAGCAGGCAAGAGGAAGTGTGTGCAGAACACCCCTTTATAAAACTATCAGATTTCATGAGACTTATTCACTATGATGAGAACAGCATGGAAAAGACGAGCTCCATGATTCAATTACCTGCCACCTGCTTCCTCCCACAACATGTGGAAATTACGGGAGCTATAATTAAAGATGAGATTTGTGTGGGGACACAGCCAAAGCATATTATTCCACTCCTGGTCCCTCCCACAACTCATGTCATCACATTTCAAAACCAATCATGTCTTCCCAACGATCCTCCAAAGTCTTAACTTATTTCAGCATTAACTCAAAAGTTCACAGTCCAAAGTCTCATCTGAGACAAGGCAAGTCCCTTCTGCTTATGAGCCTGGAAAATCAAAAGCAAATTAGTGACTTCCTAGACACAATGGGGATCCAGGCATTAAGTAAGTAAATATAGCCACTCCAAATGGGAAAAATTGGTCAAAACGAAGGGGCTACAGGCCCCATGCAAGTCTGAAATCCAGTGGGGCAGTCAAGTCTTAAAGTTCCAAAATTATCTCCTTTCACTCCATGTCTCACATCCAGATCATGCTGATGCAAAAGGTGGGCTCCCATGGGCTTGGGCATGTCCAACCCTGTGGCTTTGCAGGGTACAAGACCCCTCCCAGCTGTTTTAAGGGCTATCATTGAGTGTCTGTGACTTTTTAAGGTGTGCAGTGCAACCTGTCAGAGGATTTACCATTCTGGGGTCTGGAGGGCGTTGGCCATCTTTTCATAGCTCCACTAGGCAGTGCCCCAGTGGAAACTCTGTGTGGGGACTTGCACCCTACATTTTCCTTCTGTACTGCCTTAGCAGAGGTTCTCCATGAGGACCCACCCCAGCAGCAAACTTCTGTCTGGATGTCTAATGGTTTTCATATATTCTCTGAAATCTAGGAGGAGGTTCCCAAACCTCAGTTCTTGACTTCTATGTACCCTCAGGCTCAACACCATGTGCAAGCTGCCAAGGCTTAGGGCTTGCACCCTATGAAGCCACTGCCCAAGCTATAGCTTGGCCCTTTTTGTGCCACAGCTGGTGCGACTGGGATGCAGGGCACCAAGTACCTAGGCTACACACAGCAGGGGGCCCTGACCCAGCCCGTGCAAGTCTCTGGGTCTGTGGTGGGAGGGTCAGCTGTGAAGATCTCTGACATGCCTTGGAGACATTTTCCCCATTGTCTAGGTTTTTAACATTTGGCTCCTTGTTACTTATGCAAATTTCTGCAGCAGGCTTGAATTTCTCCCAAGTAAATGGGTTTTTCTTTTCTATCTCATCATCAAGCTGTAAATTTTCCAAACTTTTATGCTCTGCTTCCTCTTGAACTCTTTGTCGCTTAGAGATTTCTTCCACCAGATACCTCAAATCATCTCTGTCCAGTTCAAAGTTCTACAGATCTCTAGGGCAGAGGCAAAAAGCTGCTAGTCTCTGTTAAAGCACAATAAGAGTCACCTTTGCTCCAATTCCCAAAAAGTTCCTTATCTCCATCTGAGATCACAACAGCCTGAACTTTACTGTTTACATCACTATAAGCATTTTGGTCAAAGCCATTCAACAAGTTTTTAGGAGGTTCCAAACTTTCCTACATCTTCCTGTCTTCCGAGCACTTGCAGTATCTAGGAAGTTCCAAACTTTCCCACTTTTTTAAATCTTCTTCTGAGCCCTCCAAACTGTTTCAACCTCTGACTGTCACCCAATTCCAAAGTCACTTCCACATTTTCAAGTATCTTTACAGCACTACCCCACTCTATTGGTATCAATTTACTGTATTAGTCTGTTTTCACACTACTGATAAAGATACCTGAGACTGGGTAATTTATAAAGGAAAAAGGTTTAATGCACTTAGTTTCACATGGCTGGGAAGGCCTCACAATCATGAAAGAAGGCAAAGGAGAAGCAAAGTCACATATTACATGGTGGCAGGCAAGAGACAGCGTGTGCAGGAGAACTCCCCTTCATAATGCCATCAGATCTCCTGAGATTTATTCACTATCATGAGAACAGCATGGGAAAGACTGGCCCCCATGATTCAATTACCTCCCATTGGGTCCCTCTGATGACATGTGGGAATTGTGTGAGCTACACGTCAAGATGAGATATGGGTGAGGACACAACCAAACCATTTTAGCCCTCATAATTTTTTTCTTGGATATATTTTTCCATTCATCCCTTTGTTTCTTAACTAATTTTTAATGAGTCCTTATTATTTAATCACCATTTAATTTGTTCTTATGTTACTAAGGATCCATGATTGCTAACATCTGGCTATTTTGAAGACGAAAATAACCAGAAGTGATTGCAATTGAACTCACTCATGGATTCTTTAGAGCACCCCTTTAAAAGGAATTAGTGAAAAGTTACTTTTACAGAGATATTATGTTGAAAAACCAATCCAAATGAAAGTCACTTGAGCTAATTTTGTAGACACCAAAATCCAAGTAGAATAAAAAACATTGAAATAGCCTCATGATTGCTATATAATTAAGGGCAATAGAAGCATGAATAAACTACAGTGCAATACCACCTCACACCACTAGAATGGCTATAATAAAAAGACAGATAGGAATATATGTTGGTGGAAATATGAAGAAATTGGAATATTGCTGTCGGAAATGTAAAACAGTGCATCCACTCTGGAAGACAATCTGCCAGTTCATCAAATGGCTACACACAGAATTACCATATGAGTTACCCGCAATTTCACTCCTAGGCATATACTCAAGAGAAATGGAAACATTTCCACTACTTTCACACCAATGCCTACAGCAATATTATTCATATTAGGAAAAAAAAATGGAAACCAGATGAATGTTTGTCAAGTAAAGAATGGATAAATATGTGATACATCAATACAATAGAATAATTTTGGCAATAAAAAATTAAGTACTGATGACACATACTATAACATGGATAAACATTTAACACACCATGCTCAATGACATGAACCTGTCACAAAGGACTACCTATTACATGATTCTTTCATATAACAAAGCAATAGCAGGCAAATTTATACAGACAGAAAGTAAATTAATGGCTTCCTGAATTAAAGTGAGAGAGTGTGGGGGATTATGACTAAGTAATGCAGAATTTTTTTTTGGAGTAATAAAAATGTTTTGAAATTGGTTGTGGTACTGGATGTACAACTCCATGAATATTCTAGAAACCATTGAGCTACACACTTTAAAAGGGTACATTTTATGCTATATGAATGATATATCAATGAAGCTGTTACAATTTTTAATGTTTTAGATCCTCCGAAAGAAAAACAGAACGTGATTTTACTTTATATGGCACTATTTTCAAATGTGAAGTATTCTTAATCTCTAATATATTAATGGTTTTTCATGAACACATCAAAACATTTCCTACATATATATATAAACTCTTCATCACTTTAAAAGTGAGGATAATTGGTACCTTTGGTCTACTTATGAATATGTTAAAAAAACTTTATTGTTATGAAGATGGACTCATTTTCTTAGAATTATATTCTAATTTCATTTAACACAGTCATATCTACCTTTATGATCCCAGCAGTATTATGGATATGTATTTTTGTATGTTGTTTCCTGAGCTTAGGTGTTTATCACAATGGAATATTCTAGGTGGAGGCAGAATAAGAGTTACCCTCAGCTTTAGATCATGTACTTGAAGAGAGCCTAGATCTGGCTGTGGAAATTCCAAGAATTATTCTTTTACTGTAAGTTCTAGAAGTGTTTTTGAAACTTGAGCAGAGGTGTTACATTGACAAAATAATCAATGTGCAATTATATATTTTTATTTCTTTCTTTTTCCCTAAACTACCACACATATGAGGTACCCTTCTTCCAAAGACTTGATAGGTTAAGTATGGCAAAAGCAAATGTAAAAGCAAGTCTCCCAGTTAGAAGGAGAACCAAATGCCCTTGACTGAAGGATGAGGCGTAAGTGTTCTGTGATGCCAATTTTCCATCACCGTGTCAGAATTACAGTAAGGAGGAATGTATAAGAGTTATTCATGCTATTTGATAAGGAAAAATTATATCTAATATACTCCGCTTACTCTCTGATAATAAATTATATCTAATACATTCCGCTTACTCTCTTAGATCCTGGTATCAAAAATAAAGATTATGAGAGCCCTGCTCTTAAGGAAATTTCAGTATAAGTCTTCTTGTACAAGTGACATCTTTTACTATGATATATGAAGTAGTTTACCATTTTCTGAAGCAGTGACTGTGATGTTGTACCATGGAGTTTCTTCTCTGTCAAGAACTTTTGTAGTCTTAATGGTTCCAGTATTGGCATCAATGTTGAAAAATCTGTCATCTTCAGCATTGTAGTTGATGAAGTATCTAGAGAAAAAAAAGAGAATTTTTACTTGATGTTATAATGAAGAAAATACAACTGAACCAAGAGAAGTATTATATTTAAATACATTAAAATATTCAAATATTCTATATTTGATTACATGGCAGTTTTATATTTTTATAGAACTTATATCAATTATTCTTATCTGTCAGTCTTTAATTCTAAGTTCAATTACTAATTCAAAGAATAATTTTATTAGGTCTTACCAAGTTTCATGAATAAAAGTACATAGTAGAAACACAGGGATTAATAATGGAGAGACCAAAAGAACTCACCTCTTAGAAACCTATGTTGCTATTATCCAAAAAATAAATTAGAATCCTTGAAGTCAGAGATAAATTTATCTTGAAATTTCATTGTAGCTAAGGTTTAAAGATAAATATAAAATGAAAAACAAAACATTTATATTTATTAACATTGTATCTCCATCACAGTTCAACTAAACCCTTGTTCAGTCAAAGAATGAGATAAAAAATAAAGATAGGTTGAATTACAGGCCACAAATTATTTTCCCTCTTCAATTCATGTAATCTTGCAGGATTCTCTCATATTGGGTTAGATTTCAGCTTACTTTTGTAATCAAATGAGCTGAAAGTGATCGTGTCTGTCTTCTCTCTGGGCCTAGGTTTCATGAGACTTTGTATGTTTCCTCATATGCTATGCCACGGCCACAAGAAAAGCATACTTGGGCTAATTAACTTGTCCTAGCAGGAGGAATTAAGGTAAGACCTTAACTGGGGCAAAGTTGTCCCAATTAAGGCTCCCAACCTAGCGTAGATCAACCTAGTAAATGTGCAGATGCATGATTGAGTGCCCCAGAGATAAACAGAACTGACATCAAAAGCTAGACTAATTCAGCTGGCCCTCAGCTAACCCATCAACACATACGGTATAGTCAGACATAGCTTTTTTTTAAGACCCCTGGGTTTTGGAGTTATGTGTTATTTGGCAACAGCTGATTGACATATCTATGAATAAATACTATTAAACAATTATCATATGCTCTAGAAAAGCTTCAGACTATTTCTACAACTATTTAAGGAGAGAAATATTCTCTTTTCTCCTAAAGCCTCTAATGCTTATTTCTCTTTTTAAATCTAAGCTTAAGTAATATTTTATCTAGACCTGAAATATGAAATGGACTAATTATGTGAAAAGTGCTAGGGAAGAACATAGGAAATGGAGAAAACCAAGATGCAAAGATCCAAATTAAATAAAAAGTTTGAATTGGTTAGAAAACAAATCTATGTAAATGTGGCTATGCAAACTGAATGACACGAACGTCCAAGAGTTAGGACAAGGTAGGACAAGGCAAAGAGTTTTTACTCTTTTGTGAAAGCAATGGGAAGAATTTCAAATTCAAAAAAATAAAAAGATTAATTCATGTTCTGAAAAATAACAGTGGCTACTTTTTATCATAGATTGTAGAAACTTGAAAACAATTTATAAACAAATTCTTTGTCAATTTGGACAAAGATGGAAAGATACAAGATAATGGAAAGAAGTGTATAACATACTGCTATATATGAAATGCAATTCATAGACTTTTTGTTGAAGTGGCATTAGTACAGCAATTAAATCACAGGTGACTTCATTTGCATGTGTGTGTTTGACCTACTATTTAATTGATAGGCCCCTTTACTGAGGTGGATAAAAAGAGTTAGGGAAAGGTAATTTGGGGAAAATGAATGATTATGCCTTAAATGCCCATTAGATACCCACATGGAATAAAAAACAAAAGTCAAATATGGGTATGGAGTTCAATTGTCCTTTCTAAACAGGAAATATAACTTTGAGATGACATATGAGCATAAAGATAAGGTAATGGGAATGGTATCATCTCATCTGGAACAGAATTGTAAGAGAAAAGAAATAAAAGATTGAGCACTAAAATATACAACCTACTGAGTATAGAGCAGGCCAATATCTGTTCAGAGATGGTGACAGCCAAAGGAGAGAGGGGAAACTGGGAGGGGGAGTGGCGTGCAGCCAAGAAATGTCTTACCAGGAAGGAAGGAGCTAACAACTGGGGTGAAGTCTGTTAGGAGATTGATTGAGGTTAGTGAGGGTTAATTGGATTTGGCAAGATGGACAGTATTATTAATACTTAACTTGTCAAGAATAACATCAGAAAAAATATCAAAGGATTGGAGATTTATTACAGTGGCTTCAAGAGAAGATACAAAGACCATGAGTCAAGACAATGGATTGATACCTTTTCCTGAATGAACAGCAGGAAAAAAAAAAAAAAAAAAAAAGCATTTTATGTCATCAGAAAAGTGGGTTCAACAAATTATTTTCTTTTATATGGGGAATAAGAAGCATTGTCTTTGCTGAAAGAAATGATGCTTTTGAAAAAGGGGACTATCAAAAATAGTAAAACTTATGAGAAGGTGAAAAGAATTGGCTTCCAGGGCAGTTGTAGAAATTTCCCATTGAAAGTAATAGGGATGCTTCTTCCATTTTAGTATGAGTAAAAGAAGAAAAGCTGGGTAGAAATATAGGATAGGTATGGTGATGTAAATATTGCAAAATTTATCATACTTTCTAGAACAGAGAGTAAGTGGAATTGCAATACAACCCCATGCCTCTCATAGGCATAAGGTGTTAGAAGGGTATGCAGAGCATATTGCTAAGGTGTGAAATCTTCTAACCTCCTGTGGATAGGCATGAACACACATGGCAGAGGATATTAATAGCAGCATGGAGAATGAAACTACAGAGCAAGGAGTATGCCAAGAAATCTAACTTACCAGTAAAAAACACATAAAAAGAGACAGATTGTATCACTTGTGTGATCAAAACAAGGAGGTGACCATTGTACATTGAATGTTCTAATAATAAGTACATGTTAATTGAAAAAAGTTTAACATAAGAAATTTAAACAAGAAAAGGCATAATTTTAAAGTAAATCTTACTCTGAGACACAAAAACAAGATGCTACATAATAGTGGGAAATCTATATGTCACTGGACTTCTCAAAGCATAAAGCAACGCTACAGTAAAACCATTGCACCTTCTTTGAATTGAGTCTATACTAGAAAACAAAAACAAAAACAAACAAACAAAAAAAAAACAACAAAAAAACTCCACCCTTCTTGTAATATCTCTTTCCCAGAGGATAAATGCTGAGGATGAGGGCTGGTTAGCAAATGACATATGTCTTTTCACGTGGAAAGGACAACATCCTTTAAAATGTAATCAGTAGGCTTTCTGGCTATTTTATTATCTAATGTTAACCTGTCTTTAAGAAATTGTCCATTTTTGGTTACTGTAAGAAAATCAGCTTCTGTATCTGAAATTTGGAGGACTCAAATTTGGAACTTATTATTCAGCTTCAAAGTTTCCTGCAACAACTATCAGAAAAGCTCAGATTATATTGCTATAGATCCCTATGAAATATGGCAAAGCATGTCTCGTTTTAGAAATTCGATCACCTTAGAACTGTCAGTCTGGAAGAAAATAGGTTTTGTTTTGTTTTGTTTTCCAAAAATGTGTAGTCTTTTTGCCAGCGCAATCTCCTCTTTTTTAGCCACTTCACACTGGGCTTTCTAACATAAGTGCTAATATCAGTGGCTTAATATTGTTAGAGTTAAATGTATTTTAATTTATGTAGGTTTAAATTAAGTTTATATATTAGAAAAATGGTAAGCATAATGCTAGGCACGCATCTTTAGACTCATGTTATTTGCTTCCGAGTTTCCTAAGCTATCTAGCTCTCTAGGGAAATCAATATCCTAAGGGCTAGATTTTGGGCGATGCTTGGATCCAAAGAGTCTTATTCATGAAGCTGCAATTGAATTTTGACTCAAGTAGAACTAAATAGTTCTGCCTAACCACCTTTGGCTTTCTGCCCAGACGTGGAAATAAAAACTCAGAAGTAAGTAAAGTGGAAATGTGAGAAAAGAGAAACTATTCAAGACTATTTTGAAGATTAAATGTAGAATCATTCTATTTAGAATTAAGAAGTGACATGGGTCCATAAAACCGTTAATCAAACAATTAAAAAGAGATAAGAATATTCTCAGTAAATTATTTTTCAAATAATGTTATAATAAAATCTGTTTCATAAGCCCTCAGAAGTTAAAAAAACTTAATACTATATGAATGTATATATCAATATTTAGATTTTTTTACAAATAATTAATTTGACATTTTCAGGAGTATTTAGAAAATACAAAATCAAGTAACCATTTGCCTAGGAGACATAGGTCCTAAAAGAGGACTAATCATAAAACCCGTGGAATTGGGGTTTTAAATTAAAAAAAAAAAAATTCTAGGTTACAGCTATCAAAAATGAACCAGAATAAATTGAGTTTAGAAGATTTATAGCCATATAAGACATTTTAAACAGTTTCTTCAAATTCTGATTTGGCCCTTAATATAAACCTTTGAGTACTGGTATATGTGTGAGGTAGAGAGGAAACACTTAAATACGTATATGAGTTATTTAACAAAGCTACCTAGTAAGAGGTAAGAAGAGCTAACATTTATGGAGCACTTGCAATATACTAGATGGGGTTTTAAGTGCTTTATAAACATTAGTTCATTAAACACTCAAAACAGCTGCACAAGGTAGGTACTATTACTAGTTCCCTTTTGCAAATGAAGAAACCAAGGCACAGAGTAATAGAGAATTTTGTACAACAATAAGGAGATAGTGTAAGAGATTAAAACACAATCTAGGTCTACTGAGTAATACTTATCAGCTTGTTTTTTTTTCACAGTGTCCTTCTTGTTGCCCAGGCTGGAGTGCAACGGCACAATCTCGGCTCACTGCAACCTCCACTTCCCGGGTTTAAACGATTCTCTTGCCTTAGCCTCCCCAGTAGCTGGGATTAAAGGCATTTGCCCCCATGCCCAGCTAATTTTTGTAGTTTTGGTAGAGACGGGGTTTCACCATGTTGACCATGCTGGTCTCTAACTCCTGACCTCAGGTGATCCGCCCGCCTCGGCCTCCCAAATTGCTGGGATTACAGGTGTG